AGAATCAGCTTGTTCTGATGGTGCCACATCCCATTTCTGCCTTTGGGGAGGTCTCTGGGGGTGTCTTCTTAGCTACGCCCTATTCTGGATGGGCCCCAGGAAACATCATCCTTGCCCCGACGGGAACCCAACAGGTGCAGAGCCATCTGGCAGCACTGCATGGGGTTTGCAAGCACCTCCAAGGGGCAGCCCAGACATCCTGGGTTCCCTGAGGCCTTGTCAAATCCCCAGCACCCCAACCATGAGCCCACAGGGGGCACAGGCTCCCCAAAGAGGGTCCCTGCAGGGCAGCATCCTTAGGAGACATGCCTCCAAGCTAGGGCCAGCCAGTGTCCCTCCAGGCTCGGGACAGTGTCTCTTGACGGCAGTCGTTTTAAGCCTTGGTTTCTCCTTGTGAAGTGCCTCTCTGACCATGAAACGAGAACCTCTGTTTGAAGAGCTTGATGGAGGCTGGCACATGGGGAAACTGAGGCCTCAGGGGGCCTCAGGGTTCCAGAAAGAGGTGCTGGACATGCCTCTGGGACCCTGTGTCCCTCATCTTCCTCCCCCAGGCACTGGGAACTCAGACCCCAGGAAAGCTGAACTTTGGACTGCTGGACTCTCATCTTCCTGACCAAGGGCTCACCAGTCAGTCTGGCACCCTTCCAGGGAAACTGAGGCAGAGGCAGGCTGGTGGGGTCTGCAATGCCACCCCATCTGGGCCTGCCCCATTCTGCTCCCTGAGACCCTCCTGGCACTGCCCCCATGTGGCTCCGGCGTTGTTTTCATGAGAAGGCAGATGGGGGACCAGGGAGGGGGCCAGGATGCAGGGGAGGATTTCCGGCTTCCTGAATCACCAGCGCCGGGGGCCTACAATGTCCCCAAGTGTGCTGTGGTGTCCTCTCCCTGTCCCCCACCTAGGGAAGGAATGTGACAGGGCCCAGATGGAAAGCAGGAGGAAGCCAGTGACCTCCACCAGCCCCGGCACGGGAGGAGGCATCCGTCATCTGGGCTGAGCTCAGCCTCCCCATCCCCGGGAAACTTCCAGGTGCCTGAGACCACTGACCTGGAGGGAGGAGGAGAGGAGGCCCATCTGGGTGTCCCTAGGCCTGACCCAGCTCTGACTGCTGTCCTCAGGTCCGGACCCTGAGCAGGGCTGGGGAAAGAGCCCCAGCATGCCACCCCCAATTCACCCACCCTTCAGCCTGCCACCGAGGCTGGGTCCCGGTCCCACCCTTGCCCCTTAGTGGCCTTTGGTGCTGCTTGCTTCTGCAGAGCCGTGCATCCTGGCTCTACCAATTGGTGGCCGGGCTCCCTGAGAGGGCAGGTAGGTGGAAGGGCCACCAGCATGTCTGGCTGCATGGGGGTTCTGACCTGTGGGGTCCTGGCCCTCCAATGCAGCAGGCCCACTCCCCCTCCACCCCCCGGCTCCCTTAGCTAGACAGGAAGATGAAGTCCAGGGTGTTCATGGCTCCAGGCCAGCTCAGCCCCTTCTTGCAGCTGCGAGCCACCTGTAGCCCAGAGGGCAAGGCCAGAACAGTCTGCAGGGACAGATAGCCCAGAAAGGGCCTCTGCTCAGAGTGACCCTGAAGGTGGTCCCTGCCCTCTCCCGCCTCTTAGCACAGGGAGAAGTGATGGAGGCAGCATTCCGGAGTCACCTGGGACCAGGAGCCATGTCTTGCCCAAAGGGCAGTGGGGGCCAGAAGCCTAGGGGTAAGGAGACAATGGCTCACCCAATTGCTGCCCCCATCAGGGTCATCCAGGGCCAGAGCAGCCCAGCCAGCCTGGGGCGGGGGGTGGGGAGGAGGCCAGCCCAGGGCTCCCAGGACAGAACGAGGGCTCCCAAGACAGAATCAAGGTGCCCGGGACAGAACCAGGGTTCCCAGGACAGAACCAGGGTTCCCAGGAGAGAACGAGGGCTCCCAAAACAGAACGAGTGTGCCCAGGACAGAACTAGGGCTCGCAGGAAAGTACCAGGGTGCTCAGGACAGAACCAGGGCTCCCAGAGCTGAACTAGGGTTCCCACAACAGAACCAGGGTTCCCGGGACAGAATTAGGGTTTCCAGGACAGAACCAGGGCTCCCAGGTCAGAACCAGGGCTCCCGGAATAGAACTAGGGTTCCCTGGCTGGCCCAGACCTAGGTGGTGGGCACCCAAGGTGGGCTGGATGAGCCTTGGAAAGCTGGGGCAGGGACGGGACAGCAGGGATCGCTCTAAGGGTCTGCGCTAAGCCTGCAGTGGTCTGGCTCCGGTGGGAACTGGGAGGTGCCAGGAGTGCCAGACCTTGGAGAGGAAGTGAGGTCAGGGTGGCCAAGGCAGGCCTGCGGTGGCCGCCCAGAGGCATGGAGCAGCTGCCCTGTGGTGAGTGGTTCCGCACGTGGGGTCCGGGGGCTTTGTGGAGAAAGAACGTGCTGGATAAGGGCCTGGAGACCACCAGGAGAGGGCATCTTGCCAAGCTGGGGAGTGGGCTGGGATGTGGCAGGGATGAGGCCTGTCTGCAGGTGAGGGGCAGCTCTTCTGCCATGTGGACACAGGGAGGACCCAGCACAGCATGGTCGGCCCTGGTGAAGTTTGGGGTGCACACGGGGCCTTCAAAGGTTTGGGGTTCCAGGATTTGGGCCTGTCAAACCCGGGATCCCTGAGGCATCCGGAAAGCCCTCTCTCGGGGCACCTGTATGCAGGCCCCGGCCCTGCCCTCCTCGGGGTCCCGGGTCCATCACTCCCCACAGGGTGGGGTGCGCGGCCACACCTCAGCTCCTCCAGGGAGGCCCCGCAGAGCCATGCTAAAGCCCCGTGGCCTTGGCCAGCTCTGTGGGATCCCACAGCTGGGCAGCTGGAGCAAGGAGGGAACATCTTGACCTGTCCTACAGGTGAGACAGAGGAGGGGCCAACGCCCTGCCTGGGGCTTGCTGCTGGGGTCACCCTGGTCCTGGGCCCCAGTATGAGGTTCTGAGGGGGGACCCATCCTGGGGCAGTCTGAGGGGGGAGGCCCGGTCCTGGGGCATCTGAGAGGTTGGCCCCATCCTGGAACCGTCTGAGGTGGAGAGGCCCCGTCCTGGGGCATCTGAGGGGGCAGCCTATTGCCTCGTTGGAGGGGTGCGGCCTGACCTGGCTGGGTGGGAGTGGTAGGGCAAGGTGGGGGGGCCTGGCAGCAGGTGTTGGCTGCAGTGCCCCAGCCGCAGCAGACCCTGCCCAGGCTTGGCCGTCCTGGGGCTTCCCAGGCCCCACATCCCCACCCTGGGCACCAGGACTTCTCACCACCCTGGACAGGAAAATCCCCGGTTCCCTTAGTCACCTTGTGAAATGGGAACCCTGCCTTACCCTGGGTCTCGGTTTCATTCTGACACTGCACTGGAGGGGGGGTGACATTCGCGGGGTACCAGGCTCTAGGGCGGGGGGCGGCCAGCTCCTTCTCCAGCCGCAGCGCCTGAGCAAGCGGCACAGGTGCAGCCCCGCCTCCCGCCTGCCCAGGCCTCGGCGGGGTCCACGCCGTCCTCTCTTTCCTCTGCCTGCGGGACAGCTGGGAGGGGGGGCCGAGGACGGGGCCAAGGAGGGAGGCGGGGGGGGCCGCGGCCAGACTGCCCAAGCCGTGCCCTTCTATGGGCATGCGGTGGCCCGAGGAGCCCGGGGATGGTGCTGACGTGAGGAGCCATTTCTGAGTGGGGTGCAGCTGTCTGCCGGTCACCCCTGGGTGGAAGGACACGCGAGCTCCACGGCCCCAACCCTGGCGATGGGTCCCCTAGCGACCTGTGAGGGGCTGTGTGGCTCCCGCAGCCCCAGCCTGGCTCATGCACCCTGACCCTGACTGCTCTTTCCAGACGCCCCAGTGCTTGGGTCCCTGAAGCCCCCGAGCCAGGGCCCCCTGTGGGACCGGGCAAGGAGAGGTGACCGTCCCCCGCCCTCATGCACGTGCACACGTGCGCGCACACACACACACACACACAGGCTCACGGCCGATATTTCCATCGTTTCCCTCATTATGAATAAAGGCATGGTCCCAGGATCAGGTAGCGGCCACCAGCCTCCGCAGGCAAGTCGGCCCCCGGGCTGCTGAGGCCCGGCCTGGTGGCCCCACCCGGCCCCACCCAGCAGCTGCTCTGCCCTGGGGCAGGTGACCACGGCCCACAGCACTCTCCTCTCTAGGCTTGTGGTCGGCGTGTGTCCCGCCTCACCCTCCGGCCCGGGCCACCTGCTCCTTGCCTTCCGCTCCCCAGGCAGCAGCCCCCAGCCACGGTCCTCCTCCTGCGCGGGGGGCCTCTATCCCCCACTGGCGTCCATCGCTGGCCTGTCCCCCACAGGTCTGCCCCTCGAAGCCCCACTGTCCCCAAAGCCCCGACTCTCATCTGTGCCCCGGAGCCATCAGACCCCCACGGCCTGGCTCAGCCCGGATGCCGGCCCACCAACGCCCGCCGACAGCCCTTCTCTGCCCCTGTGCAGGCTGCCACCCTGCGGCTCCACAGGCTCTCTGCCCGGCTCTGGCCGCGGTGGTGGGGGTGGATCTTTGCCAGCACACAACCGCTGCCCATGCCCCCTCATGTCCCATCCCCAGAACAGGCACCAGCCATCATCCTCGGCCTCCTCCATCGCCGCGAGGCAGGGGGCAGCCCGGGGACGGAGCCCCAGCCTGGCCTCACGCACAGGCTTCGGAGGTCTCACGGGGCCAAGCAGCCCCTCTCAGCCAGTCGTCCTGGCCGGGCCCCCCCGCCCCCGCCACCCCCCTCACCTCCTGCCCTCGGTCGGAGCTCTGGCCCGCGCCGACCCACCAAGGCCCGTCTACTCCCAGGCTGTCCGGGCCATGTCCGAGTCCCTGCATCAGGTGTCCAGGTGTCCCACGGACTGGTGGGCAGAGCTGGCCTCTCCCCGCAAAGCCCACTGCAGAGGCATCCACTCAGTGTGTGGAGAGACGGGGTCCCAGGAAAGTACCCTGCCGCCCTGTGCTGCCCTGAGGCCCCCACGGCACCGTCCACCACCAGGCGAAGTGCCCCAGCCCCCGTGTAAATGCGCTCGGAACAGATCCCTACCCGGCATCCTTCTCCGCCAATAGCTCTTCCTGCTCCTCGGAGCTGGGGTGGCTGGGAGCCTCCGCCATTGGGCTGGCGCTGGGCCGATTCGGGCTGTGCGTATGTGCTGTGGTTCTGGGTGCTTCCTCAGGCGGCGGGCCCCAGAGCCCCCACCCCCAGCCGGGTTTCACTTCCCCCTTCCGGCTGCAGGTTGAGGTTTGAAGCACATTGGGGCTGGGGTTGGGGTGTTGTTTTTTAATCGGTTGATGCAAGAGGAGAGAAAAAAAACCAGCCATCAGGAAGTGTTAGGCAAGTTGCAAGGGCAGGGGTGACAGAGAGGGGCCCTGGGAAGGCAGCGGGGGGTGCAGGGGCTGGGACAGTGTGCGCACGCCTGCCTGGGAGCCCCCCACGCTCCTCGAGAATCCCCTGCAGGCCTGGCCTTGAAGTCTCTTTGTGCTTGGCTGGCTCTCCATGAGCACCCCAGGCCTCCAGGTGAAGCACCTTGGTCTCTCTGGATGGAGCTCTCCTGGGCGCTTACAGAGTGGAGCACGGATGCACCCGTCCTCTGAGCCTTGGGCCTCGAGCCATCTCACCCCATCGGTGCAGGCTGAGTGCAGATGAGGGACCGGGTCGTCCTCAAGGCCCTGCTCCAAGCCCCGCCGACCAATCTGAGCTCTTCAGACGGCTGACAGCTGGGGCCCTGCAGGAAATGCCCCGTGCTGCACACCCCCACCTGTCTGTGCCTCCTTTACTTTCACAGTCCTTTACTGCTGGGAGTCGCCGGACCAGGGGCTCAGAAGTCAGTGAGGGGTGGCATGGGGCTGTGAGGGCCAGAACCCAGAATTGGCCGTGAAGGCGTCAGAGACCTCCCTGGCAAGCTGGGCTGATCCCGGGCCCCAAGAAGGAAAGGAGGGAGTGCTAGGCCATCTTGCCACACCCTGGTCAGCCATGGGCCTAGAAACCCTGCTGGACGTGACCTGCAGAGGACCCCAAGGCAGAGGGAGGTGGGGACGGGTGACAGGGCCCCAGAGTGTTCAGCCAGCAGGTGGGGCCTGCCCGAGGGACAAGCCGATGGGGAGGCCGTGAGCCCCCACCCGCCACACACACACCAAGAAGCCTTCCCACGTGGAGATAGGAAAGGGTCCCACACTGGGGGTTACGGGGCAGGGCTGGACTGAGGCCAGGCCCAGGGGCTGCACGGGGGAGCCCACAGGGCCCCCAGGGACCCCTCAGCCTGAGGCCTCTCCTGTCCCCTCTGTGGTTTCCAGGGGTCACTCGCTGTCCAACACGGACAAAGATGTTGTGGCTGGAGGTCCATCCGAGTGGGAGCTGGGCCCCAGCATGCCCAGGGACACAGACCATCCCAGCGCCCCGTCAGTGGCTGCGACCCTGAGTCAACCCGCCACTGGGGTCCTTCCCTCTGGCCTGTGGTGAGGTTGATCCCAGCATCCCGGCTGTTAACAGTAGGGGTCTTGCCAGGATGGGTGAGGGCAGATGGAGGCCGGGCACCCCCCGACACATGGCTTCCCTACCGTGTGCCGTTCACTGCCTGAGGGCTAGGCCTACGCCCTGACGCCAGGGCCCCGGGGCAAAGTGAAAATGCGGGGCCTCTGAGTCAAAAGCTACTAGGAATTTCCAAAGGGAAACAGTGGCGCTTGAAACCAAGTGCAGGCCCCTTCCAGGCCCACGAGGCCGGCTCTGCCCTCCAAGGCTTGGCCTGACCTGCCCGGCCCACCTGTTTAATCTCCTCTCAGAACCTGTGTTCCCCAGACTCCAGGGCCCTCCGGACTGTGCTGTCCTCCCCCTCTGCCGACCCCCAGCCCCAAAGGCCCAGGGGCAGCCCGATCCCTCCTGGTGGGGGTTAAACTGTGTCCCCCCCCCCCAAATTCCTAGGGGAAGTCCTGACTGCCAGGATCTCAGAACGGAACCTGATTTGGGAATAGTGTTCTTGCAGGTGAGGTCATTAGGGTAGGCCCCTCATCCGATATGACTACGTCCTTATGAAAAGGGGGAACTCGAGACAGGCTCTCTCGCAGGGAGAGGCCATGTGAGGATGGAGGCGGAGGCCGGCGGGGGAGGGGATATCTACAAGCCAGGGAACTTCAAAGAAGCCAGGAAACCACCAGCAGCGGGGGACAGCCCGAAACGGACTCTCCCTCTCAGCCTCAGAAGGGACCCACCTGTCTACACCTGGAGCTGGGCCTTCCAGCCTCCAGGACCAGGAGGGACGATGCATTTCTGCTGTCGACGCCACTCTGGCTGTGGGGCTCCGACAGCCGCCCCGCCCCCTGTCTCACCAACGCCTGCTGGGGCCAAAAGGCAAGAGGGCAGTCCACTGCTCTGGGGGCGCCGGGTGGGGCCACGATGCCCAAGGACGCTCTGTGGGGCCTGGGGGTACATGGGGTGCACCTGGCCACCTGGTAAGGTACCTGGGAGGGAGGGGCTCAGACACAGCCTCCACCCCCCCGCAGGGGCACCTGGGCCTCCCTCCTTGTCACCCCCACTTCACAGAGGACATGGAAGTCAGCATAGGTCTGCCCCCCTGCTCAGCAGCGTCCCCTAGACCCCCGGGCCATCCAGCCCTGGCCACTGGGCCTCCTGCGCCTCCCTTCACAGGAAGCACCTCCCGGTCCCTCATCTGCACTCAGCCTGCACCGACAGGCATGGATGCGGTGAGAGGCATCCCGGGGACCCAGCGTCCATCCTGACGGCAGGACCGCTGCGCCCTCCGTGGAGGAGATGAGTCTGCCCGAGACACAGACACTCCACCATTTGTCCCCTTGGCATCGTTCAAAGTGCAAGAGGGTGGTGTCGAGAGGGTACAGGTCTCGTGTCGTCCGTCTTCATGCCTCCAAGCCCTCTGAGCCCGGTGCAGTGTCCGGTGACACAGTGAGTGGTCAAGTGAAGCCACAAGCTGACCCCAGGCCAGACCGGAACCAGCTCTGCCGGCAGCCGGTGGGCGCCAGGTGGGCTTCTGACAGCGCACGTGCTGAGCCGAGGAGCGCGAGGCCCTGAGAGCCAGGCCGGGAGGAGGTCTCTGCAGGGCGGGCAGCACAGAAGGACCTGGGGGAGGGGGTACTGACTCCACGCTGTCGGGGGGACACCAAGGCCACTCACTGTCCAGGGGCAGCAGGCCATAGGCAAGGTGGGGCCTCAAAGGCCCGGGTGGGACGGGTTCCCCAGGGAAGGAGGTGTCAGGACCACACACTCGGTGACATTGGGTGACAAGACCGGAGGGTGGACAGAATGAGCGAGGAGGGGTTAAGAGCAGCGTCAACACACAGACCAGGTCAGGCCAGAGAAGGACAACGGATGGGTCGGAATCTGACCTGGCAGAGCCTGGGGGCACAACGAGGCCCACGGAGGCCTGAGCTCAAGCCACCATGCGTGGAGGGAGCATCACCACGTGCCAGTGTCCAGGGCCGGCGGTCCATTCGGCACAAAACCCCACTTCCGTTGCACCTGCCACGCAGCGTCCTTGGCACCTGCTCCCTCACTTACGTCACTGCTCCCCCAGCTCAGTGCTCAGCCCCTCCTCCACGAGGCCCTCTGTGCAGGATGCTGTTGGGGACCAAGGCCCGGGCGCTGGGGCGCTGCTCGCCTCCCGGCCTCGTGGCCGGCGAC